AATGAAAGAAATGAAACCACCGATGTTGTTTAAATGTGTCTGTTTTTAAGCACCTAATTTCCAAATGGTGAAGCCTAAAACTACCTTCCTTTCCTGCTACCCCACCCAGTTTTATTACAAAGAGTGGGAAACAACATAGCAGGAATAATACAACTGTTTCTGAAATGACAATATGAGGAGTTAATTACAACCTCCTTCCATTTCTGGAGAACAAAAACTTAAATGTGGAGCAGTTGGCAGGTTGCACACTTGATTCCAATTAGCTCTTCCCTGGACTACTTGCTGACATAGAACACTGAAGTGTCCAAGTTAACAGCCAACTGAGTGGGGCCTGAGGAAAACTGTGCTTAGGCAAAAGGGTGCATTTCCTACAGAGGAGCTAAACTAGTCAGGGCCAACCCAACAATGGGTCGGTTCTTCTAATTATACTCATCTGCAAAAATATTTAATTAGGAACTCTAAAAAAGAGTCTGTATGAGAAGGGTGAAAGGCGCTATATACCCTTTCACACAGCAAGTGGCTTCCGACACATTTTAGCACAGGGACTGTAAAACAGTGACAGAAGCACCGTGCTAAATGGTGACCATTTGCTTGGCCTGAGTATTAGGTGACAATAGGGAGTGGCGAGGAGTATGGTGAACTGAAAAGCGTCCATACTTCTTTTAAATGAAGTTATTCAGTAATTATTATCTTGCAATAAATACAGGCCCAATATTGCTAGATCTTATTTTTTAAAAAATAAGATTAGATGAAAATCTGAACTTTTAGGTAAAATCAGATTTTTAACTGTTAGCAAGAAAATTTAAAGTTTCTTAAAAGAAAGGAAGAAAGAAAGAAAGAAAGAAAGAAAGAAGAAAGAAAGAAAGAAAGAAAGAAAGAAAGAAAGAAAGAAAGAAAGAAAGAAAGAAAGAAAATACATATGTGTAGACCAGGCAGCATTTGTAGGCTGCTAGTTTACAATCTCTGGCAGTGGTTTCCAGATCGCCTCTTCTCGTAGGGACATGCCTTTGTCATGCTATTCTGAAAATATGGGGCTTGGAACCATAGTCTGAACCTGGAAGAGTAGGCCATGGAGTTAACTCTTTTGACCTGGACACTGAATGACTATTGATTCACCCTAAGACTGCATCAGCCTTTTTTTGGTTGTTGTCAGAATCAAACTGGTCGGATGTTAAGATAGCTATGATTCTTCTTATTTTTTTCTTTTCCCTCGTATTGGAGAACTAAGTCAGGTTTCCCTATGCCTGCTTGATTGTGAAACTGGCTATTTGAACCCAAGTTCAACATTCTATGTTTGCTCCATGAAATGTCACCCTGTTATTTGCAGCCCAACATAATAAAGATCTGCCTTGGGTCTCAGTTTTGTTGTCCATCCAGTGCATTATCTCTCTGCCCCTCTCAGAGCAGTCTGCTGTCAGAACGATGGCTGTGGTTGAGTTGTTGGTTAAGGAGCTGAGATCATTGTCTTGGGGGAATGCACTAGTCACCATGAGTGTCCTGAGTGGACAAGCCTGAGTGGGGCTTCAGCAGGGGCTTCTCTGGGGGCCAAGGAAGGAAGTTATTCAGAGAGAGAGAGGGGCAGGGGCTAAGAGAAAAGTTTTTTAAAAAATATATATTTTATTGATTTTTTACAGAGAGGAAGAGAGAGGGATAGAGAGTTAGAAACATCGATGAGAGAGAAACATCGATCAGCTGCCTCTTGCACACCTCCTACTGGGAATGTGCCCGCAACCAAGGTACATGCCCTTGGCCAGAATCAAACCTAGGGCCTTTCAGTCTGCAGGCCGATGCTCTATCCACTGAGCCAAACCAGTTTTGGCAAGAAAAGGTTTTTAATGAAAGCAAATTCTACCCTTTCCCCCCCACAAATCTGTCTAGGGCTTGGTTCCCCATTGGACTCAGACATATGAACAATCAGTTATTTCCTTGTTTACTTTCTCTTCTTGCACACGAATTAATCCTTTTGTAGGTACTCTGAACTTTATCAAAGTTCTCCCCAATATTTTTTTCTGTAGCATTTTTTTTTCCTTTCATGTGCCTGTTTTTAAGCATCTAATATAGAATATAGAAGTGTCTCATTTTCAGGCTGTTAGGCACCTCTCTGGATGGTGTAATGTTATCAACATTAAGATTCTCACATTGATCTTCAATCTGCTTTAAAATGATAGTGATGATAATAATGCCTCCTTGTTTTGAATAAGTCCTATCAGAGGTTATAGACTCACAGCCTACAAACTCTGAGTCTTGGCAGTAGCCATGAACAATCAAATAGGCTCCAGAGGGTGATCAGCAAACGACCTTGAAAGAAACCCATGGAAGAACTTTGGTGTAAGGGTTTCCATTGTCTTCCTAGTGAAGTTATTCTCTAACCAGCCTGATTTAGCCATTTTGATTCTACTCCAAAAGAGATGGGAGCTTGACTCTTCAAAACCCAGGGCTAGCTTCCATTTCTGTGTCTTGTTTAATTTTTTCTTCATAAGAAATAAAGGAAGTAGAATTGGATAGTTTACCCTGACATAGGGAATGATGGTTTGTCTATAAAATATGTTATACTGCACATAAGCCAGAGATTAAAAAAACAATGTCTAAAGTAAGGTTCCTTGAATTGGATTTGCCAGAGCTTTGTCTATTTTATTGCTTCTGCCAAAGAAACAGCTCTTGGAAAAGTTACCAATTGAATTGCTTTAACTTGTTTAACTTTATTAATGCTTTTAATATTTTTTTTAATTTAAAAATGTTTTACTAATTTACTTTTCTTTTCCATTTAATAATATAATGAACTCAATGAATTTGCTAGCATCAGTTCTTGTGGGCCCTGATATTTCTGTGCCATATTCATTTTACATGTGTGGTCTTTTTTATTGTCTCAAATACCTCAATGGCGTGTAAAAGAGATTACTATTTCCCAATCTTTCTATCATTTATTTGACCACTGGGTTCATGTGGTCAATTCAGATTCCAGAATTATTTAGGAAGATACTTTTCTATCATCCAAGTTGAAATTTTATTTTGTTCTTGTTCTTTTTGCCTTTAGGTATTATTTTCCAATCTTTGTTCATTTTAATTAGATAGTTCAAAGATATGATAATTTCTTAAGGTGAAGTGAAAGGGGTTAATAAGGGCCAAATAGGCAAAAATCACAGCATTGTTTGTTGAAGGAACATAGGAATCAAGACATTCAGTCAAGATTTATTGACTAATAGTTAAGTGCTGTGTACTCTATTAGGAAGTGGAGAGGAATAAAATTCCTTAATTGTCCTCAAGAACCCTGCAGGAGGGGACTTTATTATGCTGGTGAATTAATATACCTGTATTCATTGTTGTTAGACTCTCTGATTCATTACAAGGTTGGAACACATTCAGTAGGATGGCAGAACCACAAGTCTGGTTTTCCTCATGAATGGGGTAATTGTACAATTAAGGAACTCCCCTGTTTCCCATCATTTTTAAAAGAAGGATCTATAGAAACTGTGGGGGCGGGTTTACCTTGATGCTAATGAACCCTGCTGGGGGTTCCTTACTGCACAGACCCCTTTCAAGGCTCTGGCACTGGGTTCACGTGGTCATACGCTTTTAGCAAATTTGCAAAGGTAAGATTTTTCAGTTCCTTTTCTTTTTTTCTTTTTAGAGAGAGAGGGAAACTTTGATTTGTTCTACTTATTTATGTATTCATTAATTGATTGAATACTAATGAATTCAATCAATCGGGAGGTCAAACCTGTAACCTTAACATATAAGGATGATACTCTAATCAACTGAGCTGCCTGGCCCGGGCCTCAATTCCTTTTCTGAAAGAGGTTCTCTGGATCTGGCCCTGTGGCAACCACAGTTGTCCCTACCAGGGAGCAATTTATTTAAAGGTCAGTAGATAATCTTTATTGATTGCTTTTCTTTAGGAAATGTACACATATCTCTGAATGGTCACCAAGTATTGTTACCAACTTTATATGTTTACATATATGTTTAATGCTTTATTGTTGGCAAATATTATTCAGGGCCTCTCATTCCTTGAAACTCGTTCAGCTACTCTAAAACATAGCCAACAAACTGGGACGGAATCTTTACGGAATTATTTCATTTATACCAATACAATGTCATAAAGAATCAAAATGTACAGTATTTGACAAAGCCTGAAAGGTGTTCTTCAATGCTTACAGGATCATATAATACATTTTCTGTGATAAATAATAACTGGCACTGGTATTTGGGAGACTAGAAAGGTGACACTAACAGTGACCTCTCAAGGGTGAAAGACTCAAGCTCCTGGAGTACCAGCCTTCATGGAAGGGTTTACCCTTTTGTATCTTCAGCACCCAGGACAGTGCCTGACATTCAGTAGGTACTTAAATAAGAGCCAGGAGAAACCTGTTAGCAATTATACAAAAAGAGCCAGCATAGCTGAAGTTTGCAGTCTGTTACAATACTAGACAAGAATGAGACCCCCATATGAATCAGTTAGAGAAAATATTGTGATTTCCAAAAGGCTGATCCTTTGGATAAGCAGAGACTTCCTGTATTAAGGACAAAATTATAATGATCTTTTATTAAAACAATTGGAGTTGCCGACACTATTTTATGAGGACTGGCAGCTTAGGCAATTAATATTAATATGTTAACTATGGAGAGAGGCCAGCACTAATTAAATAATTAAATAGATTAGCATTCAGGAGTGGCCTGTTATCACCCTGACCATCTGGTACCTGAGCATGAAGGGTTAGACTGCACTTCTATCCAAAACAGGGTTGTTGGTGGTGATGTGTGCGAATAATTAATCCCATAAAAAGAGAGTTTGGACAGACTTTTTCAAAGTTTCAAACAACTGACATGTTGATTCTTTCTTTTCCTTTTTTCCTAAAAGCAAATGTATTTAGCAATTTTTTTCTCCTCTCTACCCTCCCTCTTCCTGCCTTCTTCCCTTCTCTCCCACCAATGAAGCCAACATGTGATTTGAGATCAAAATATCATTTGTAGAGAGCAATTAGCACTTAATCTCAATTTACCTCCTGCACATATAGTGGATGGTTCAGCTGCTAGAATTTCAATGCAGGACTTCTTCAAAATCTAGAAGGAGAAGAAATAAAACAGTCAAAGCACAGCTTATTTTGTTAAAAGAGAGAAGTAATGTTTGCTTTTAGTTACCAAGATAGGAAGAATCAAGGACATTATGTTGCAGTGGGTGATTGGTTGGGGAGTGCTTGACTAGTACCCTTAATATCAAACATGCAATGAGCCAACATTGTGTTAGATGGTTTTCAAAATATCATTCATTGGTTCTTTCAGCAGATATTTACTGAGTCTATGATATGCCAGACCTAGCTATGGAGAGATGTTGGGGAAATAGAACTTACAATTGAAAATATAAATAACAATGGCCGGTCATATGTGGTAGGTGCCAGGGTGAAGGGGCAAACAGAAGGAGCTATGGAATTCACGGGGGTGGGAGAATGGGGAGAGATTACCGAGGTCTGGTACGTGGGAAGGACTTTATGGAAACCATGGGTGCTGAAGGTAGGACTCAATCAAGTGGAGTGAAGTGAGCTAGGGAAAGGTTGGGTTCCAGGCAGGGAATGGCATTAACAAAGGTGAGAAAGTAGAAATACATAAATCTCCTTAGCTAGAACATAAGGAGCTTGAAAAATCGACAAAAGAAAGAGTGATAATAGATAAAGCTGGAGAGTAGGATGGAGATGGCCAACCCTTGAGGATCGTTTTCACATGACGGTATGCAGTTCCCTTTTTGTTAGAAAAGTCCAGCAAGAAGTTGAGGAAGAGGGTTTTGAGGGCTGCTTTGTGGTGCCCCCCTCTTCAGCAGGACCCCCTATGCTGTACTTCAGTAGAAATGTAGTCTTCTCCCAAATAAGAGTCCGGTAAGGTTGGGGGAGTTATAGAGGAGCCCCATGACTGCTTAGGGAGTCAGTAAGGAAGGCTTCTTCTGGTCAAAGCAGGGTATCTGACTGGTAGGGTTTAAGCTTCTCTCCACCATTTCTAAGTCATGTTTCTTAAAATTTCAACTAAGCGTTTTAAACAAGTATAGGATACTGAATTAATTTACCAAGCAAATGCACTATCTTTATTTTGGGCCTTAATTTGGAGATAGAGATGGTTGAGAGGGCTGAAGGAAGTCATTTTTCTATTTATAAAAGGGGCACTTGTTAGAGGAATTGACAGTGAAATTATAACACTGAGTCTGTAAAAGGAAAAGCATCTTTTTTGCATTGGGAAACACTCTTGTGTTGATGTATTGATTTGCATGTGCTACTTTGTTCCAGCTTAACTAAAACATACATCATGGGTTACAGTAAAATAAGAGACACACAAATTGCAAAAAGGGAGGAAATGGACTAAAGGAAAAATAAGAGGGAGATGAAATAAGGAGTGAGAACATCGCAGGAAAAATATGCTGTGCAGAGTTTATTTCCTTGCTAAGAATGGATTTAGTTCTAAGCTTTCCAGTAGCAAATGAGGACAGACAATATTTATGACATTTTCAAGCTGTAGAGTGAAAACAAGCTAGTTTCTCTGAAGAGATAATATTTACCCATTCCAGAGAGAAAGCTGGGCGTCCACATAGAGAAGCATTGTGAAAAGAAACGAACAACACGCTTCAGAAATCTCACATGCAGATGACAAAACATTAAGATATATTCCCTGAAACAGGTTCCCTCACCACCATGTGTTTTAGGTAATATATACCTGAAAGTCACAAAAAAACAGTTTGTCTTTTTTTGACAGTTCTGAAATTCAGATTTCCAGCTACTTTTCCTAACATTCTTTTCCACTCCTCTACAACTTAAAGGCATTTTCACACTTTGATTCTGCTATTTGTTTTCAGCTTCCCCCTAATTTCGCAGTGGGAAACAATTTTTGCCTTCTTTCCTGGGCCTCTGGCTTCCCAGGCCATCTCTGCCTCCACCCCAGCTTTTGCCTTCTTTCCTGGGCCTCTGGCTTCCCAGGCCATCTCTGCCTCCACCCCAAACACAGGATCAGCCTCAGTTCTTTCTAGTGCCTAAACCTGTTCCAATTGGAGAATGACTCAGGTGCCCCCAACCCCCACAGCCCAGTGCCCACCTCCGTGAGAGTCAGTGGTCCTTACCCAGCTGGCTCTGGGGACCTGGAATCACCACTAGCTCCTGAGTGCACTTCAATGTCACTCTGACTTGGGAACCAGGCACCCCAAGGATAGATCCCGGGCACCCATGTTTCCCTGTTGGCTTTCCCGTCCTCCTTCCCTTTCCTAGGGTTGGTCCTCTAGGTCTCTTATGTATGCAGTGATGTCCTCGGATTAAGGCTTACCAAAACCTTGATGTGTAGGGACTCAAATCCCAGGTGACAGCTGTCTGACTTGAATGATGCCGATTGTTCAATCTCTCCCCTACATTTGCTATGCTTGGTCTTCCTGCCTAAAGGGCCACCTCAGCCAGTGGTTGCTATGATGGAGCCACCCCTTCAATGTGTCCGCAGGCAAGTCTTCAAACAGGCCACATTGGAAGAAGCAATTCACCCACATGGAGAAACTTACTAACTAGTGGCTTTAGAACAACCATGCAGCTATTTTTTGATGTGTTAAATAAAATTCCTAAGGCATTTGATATCCCTTAATAAATCATTTAATCATCCACAACAGAAGATATCCAAAAAACAGTTTAAGAATAAAGATTGGGCTATTGGATCTACTTTGTCTCCATCCCCAACTCCACCAAAACACATAAATGAAATATTTTCACCCATGTAAGTTCTTGACTTTGAACCAGTGTTTTCGATCCAACTCTAATACTTCACCAGGGGTCAGCGAAGGCAACACCCGTGAATCTTTGAGCGCAAAGACAACACTAGCAGGGTCTGTCATCATAAACACATGCTGCATTATTCTCCCAAAGTGTCTGCAATTAGTTGATAAATCTAAGGAGTTGTAAGAAGGGCCAAAAAATGTCAGCCAAGTGCTGTGATTCAATCCAGTAAAAACACAACTTTCCCAATTGTAACCTAAACCATCTGGAAGGAACGCATTGCCGCCAACAGAGTAAAATTTATCAGTGAGGGGGGAAGGGCAGGATTTGTCTGGCACTGTGGCTCCTACTAATGGGAAATGTCTGGTTTCAGAAGGTAGGCAGTCACAATAGCATTGGGTAGATTTGGGGGGTTTCCTTGTTTATTAGCAGCCCAGACTGCATGGTAAACACTCTGCCTAAGCTTCCCCCACACAGCAAATCAGTGTAGGGACTGGAGAGGAGATGAGGATGGGAAGGTGAAGGATCCGTGCCCCCTCAGCACAGTGGTAGCCATGGAAGAGGTGTGGACACAGCACTGGGGAATCGCTGGAGTGAAATCACTAGATGGAGTGGGAGGGCCTCACATAGAGTCGTGGTGATGTCACAGCTGACGGTATAATTGGCCTGTCATGGAGACGGGGTAAGACCACTACATGCCTCAAATATAATCCATGTGAGGGGTTAGATCCTGACCCTCATCCTGGACTTACTCTTCCTATGGTCCTTGACAAACCCTTTAACTCTCCTGAACCCCAATTTTGGGGAGCAATTTCACATACTGAGTAACAGCTTAGAATCTGAAATCAAATTGCTTGGGCAGCTCATGCATGAACAGTGTGGCCTTGGGCAAGCTGCATAACCTCTCTGAGTCTCTGTGTCCTCAATTATAGAAGTGGGATAAGAACAGTACCTATTGCATAAGTTTGTAGAGTTGGCAAGATTGAATGAGATAACATAGATAAAGCTCATAGCACAGGGCCTGAAATCAGATAAGTCCTCAACTAATGGCAGCTACTATTATTGGGCCCCAAGCTCCACCCCGTACTTGCCTGTGGACTTGGAAAAGTTATTGAAACTTTGAATCCCAGTTTCCTCTGTTATAAAATGGGGATAAGAAAAAACACTGACCCGAATGATGGCAAAATGATAACAGGCATGAAAGGAGAGATATTTAGTTTGTAAAGTCAGTTGGACTTAGATGACAAAACTCATATTGGATTGGAGGGTGAGGAAGAGAGTGAAATTCAAGGAAATATAACAAGCATTTTAAGGACAGAACAAACAGGTGTGATTGATTAATCCATAGCTATTCACAAGAATTGGACCACCAGCCATAATGTACCCTTCATGTAAAAAATTCACCAAGAAATGTCTTCAGAACATCCTTAGTAAAGCACTTAGGAGAATGTCTGACAAATAAAAGCAGGTTTACAGTTGTGAGTATGTGAAACAGAGTTTATTCTTATATTATTATTTATTAAACTGAAAATCACCTTTTGTCAACCCCATATATTTGGTTTTCAAACCATAATATCTGTTATTACTTTTCTGATCACCATCACTATTACTGTTGGGCCAAGATGGTAGCTCATAGATGATTACATCCTATTACCCAACACTGGCCTCAGGCTTAATTTCCTGAACACCCCCCCAAAAAAAACAACAACAACAACAAACAAACAAAAAAAAACAAACATACACACACACACACACACACACACACACACACGAACAAGGATGGCTAATAATACTTTCCTACTTTTGGAAAGATTTCAAAAAGAAGTTATATGGGGAAACATGTTTAAAATCCATAAAGAACTATATAACTTAGATGTGTTGCTACTGGTATAGTTACTTTTGCACATCTCATTCGATTGCTGGCAGAGTAAAAGAGGTGGCAGAGCTTTGCCAAATAATAAAAGCTACTCAGTATATTTAAAGTGAAATCCATTGTGGACCAGTGCAGGTTGTATATAAGAGTTCATTTTCTGGACTCTAAAACCCAACATCCTTTTTCATAAAATTCTCAGTTTATACAGAGATTTTGCAAGAATCCTTAAAGGATTATAAATGTTGCATAGAGTATTAGGAACACCTCCTTTGCCATAGGCACATCTAAATTTTTTCCCTAATTGCTCTGCCTCCTTCCCTAATATCCAAGCAATTTTCATTTACTTGGCCATTTTCTGATAGTGTGTGTGTGTGTGTGTGTGTGTGTGTGTGTGTGAGTATAAAAGACCAACCTATTTTATTCATTCATTGCTTCCACACATCTTTCAGAGCATGTTTCTT